ACTTTTTAAGTTTAATAAATGATGTACGTGCTATTTCAATACGTGTCTTAATTTCTTTGGTTTGGTCTACATCTGATGTTATCCATGTTCCTAAATATTTATAGTTATTAACATTCTCAATTGCAGTATCTTCAATAGTCAATTGGATATTTGCATGTGCAGATTTAGTCATGATCATGCATTTAGTTTTCTTTAAATTTATCTTCAGTCCGTACTCATGACAGCGTTCATTAAGGCGTTGCATTAGGTTCTGTAAATCATTGTTGTTATCCGTAATTATTACTGTATCGTCTGCAAAACGTAAGTTATTCAAAACTTCTCCATTGATAGATATACCTTCTATTGAGTCTGAGAGCGCTTCTTGAAATACCGCTTCACTGTAGACATTGAAAAGTAGTGGGGACAGCACGCAACCCTGGCGGACTCCTCTCTGTATTTTGATATTTTCGGTGTACTGGCTGTCAACTCTTACCTTGGCAGTTTGATTCCAATATAAATTAGATATAATTTTCAGATCACGGCTGTCAATATTTTTGCTTTTTAATATATCTACAAGCTTTTTATGTTGAACTTTATCAAATGCCTTTTCAAAGTCTACAAAACATAAGTACATATCCTGATTCATGTCCGTGCATCTCTGAGCCAGCACATTCAAGCCGAACAAAGCATCTCTTGTACTCATACCATTTCTAAAGCCAAATTGTGTGTCACTAATCTCACATTCAAGAGTTTTAACAATTCTGCTGTGAATTATTTTCAAAAATATTTTAAGTGTGTGACTCATTAAAGCTATGGTTCTATGTTCTGAGCAAGTTGTTAAACTTGGTTTTTTGGGTATTGCTACAAAGGTTGATTGCAGCCATTGTCTGGGGATTGTGGCAGTCTGATATATTAGATTAAAGATTAAAGGATTAAATATAGGACGGTTAAAATTTGGTCTTTGATTATTGTTATTTGTAGGCCTATTTGTCTTAAATTAATTTGTTGCTCCATTAAAGAATGATTAACAACTAAGTTTGTAGCTTCTTTAATATTTTTTGGTTTATTTAACATTAGCAACGTTCTTAATTCTGCGTGACAGTTAGAAATTAAGACAGTTACTGCTGTAACTTCATTTTGATTTATTAAAATTAATGTAGTATTTGGTTCGATATCTGTATCTGAATTAATTTTTAAATTTAGTCTCATTTTTATCATTTTTAATCTTTCTAAAAAATCTGTAATATTTTCATTTCTGTTTCTACTTAAATAGATAAATTGTTGATGCAACACATGTCGGTCAACTTTGTCACCAAATTTTATTTTTAAGGCATTTTTTACTTCTGGCCATGTATTTAAATCAGGCCTGCAGAGCAAAAAATCACCGGCTTCTTCGATAATTTTAGAGCAGATAGAAGCAAATACGAAGACTATTGTCTTGTGTTTTGACATATCTGTCATAAAATTTATCAACAGAATTTAAAAAGGAATCTAAATGTTCGCTTCGTCCAGCAAATGGACGGATTGTGTTTGCAATTTCTTAAGCTGCTTGAATAGTAGCCATATTATTATCAATTTCAATGTCAGTTATAGCTTCTAGCAAAGAATTTAATATAATAGGCATAAAATAAGTAAAATAAAATAGTATATATAAAGTAGTAAATTCAGTAGATTAGAAAAATATTCAAATTTCACAAATAGTAAGTTTTAAAGGAAAAAGAAATAAAGGATTTGAACTCAACACTTACTCGATCAAGAAGTCTTCAGAATTCAGCCTAGGTCTTCTTTCCAGATAAGTGGTTGAAACCAGCGACAAAAGGACACTGTACTGTAAGCCAATTCGCCTTCAAGAATCCTACTGACTGCGCCACTTAAGTTTTACGAGTTAAAAAATTACTTTTTAAAAAACAATTTTATTAACAAGGACTAAATACAAGGATAATGACTATATATAATCTTAAGCAAAAGTGATTTATGTTTACATTTACTTCTATTTATATGTTTCTACGAATCTAATGTACATAAAGAATGTTTATGATAGAAAGTACAATGATTACTATAATGACACTATTAACCACATTTTTAGATACATAACTCAGGTCTGGCACACAGGCCTACTCAAAAAAACTTTACCTTACTGGACTGCCAATAACTTTCGTTACATTAAGTTTCATGATTTTTTTGTTTTAACCCTATAATGCGCGATTTTTTGTATTGTAATAAAAAAATATTTTTAACTGCATTAGGGTATAAACTTATGCCTAAAAATAGTAAAAAAATCTAACTTTCAAAAAAACATTAATTTTTTGAAAAATCTTGTTGTATCATATATGATACATAGCAGAAATTTTTACAAAACAAATTTTATTACATTATTAATAAGTATAATATGTTACAATAACTAAATATCTAAGTTGAATGGAATTTATGAAAACAATTATTATTTTTGTTCAGGCAAAGATATAGTCCACATTTTGAACATTGAATATACGAAAAAGAAGTACACTTGTGCATCTTGCATCTCTGTCTTGTGTATTTGTACAATGGCCAGTGTGAGTGACCATCAAGCCTTACGTCTTTTGGAGGAATATACGTTGTTGTTGCTGACCTTTTCTTTTTTTCGGCTATTTCTTTTTCAAGATCTGATGGCCTTCCTCTCTTCACCAAACGATTACTTCCAACGTTACATAAGCAATATGCCACTTCAGCCCGAAACTCGGCAAGTTTCATACATTTCTCTGCCTCCTTTTCTCTGGAACATCGACGGTAAAGAAGCCAAGAATTTACAAGCGTCATATCAAGAAGATGATAGAATAGCCTCATATATCACTTTTTTGATTTAATTTTGATTTTGTAGCGGCCAATCAGGCTATCCATAAGGTCAACCCCTCCCATATGTTGGTTATATTCCTGGACCAACTTAGGACATTCAATGTTGATTTTTTGTTTTCTTTTTCTATCAAACCTTTCAACATTTCCTTTCGGCAATTCTCCAGCAAATGTTCCACGCCTTCAAAGTCACACACATACTCAACTGAAGTCCCACGATCCATTTTTTTTGCTTCATCTTCAGATGGTAACTTACAGTTTGGAATACGGTTTCGTCTAACAGTGCCTAGGGAATATATACCTTTGGTAGCAAGATAATGAAGTAAAGGCAATGACGTATAATAGTTGTCAAAGTAAACAACATAATTGTGATTTTCCGGGATAATCCTAGATAATCTGACAACTACATTGGCACTTGCTCCTAGGTCTGTTTCATTTACCCGACGATTCCTTTTATCATTTTATGTACCAGTGTATATTTCGAAATTGTAGGAATATCCACTAACACCGCATAAAACGAAAAGTTTGTATCCCCACTTGTGGGGTTTGGCAGGCATGTATTGTTTCATATAGTGCCTTCCTTTTGAGGCGCACATCTGCTCATCTACTGAAAGTTTTTGTTCCAATGATATGCTTTGGAATTTGTTATTCAAATGATCGACAAGGGGTCGTAATTTATGAAGACGATCTCGATCCACATCATTTTGGTCCAAACTTGTATTGTCGTTGAAATGTATACATTTTCTGATAAATTCGAATCTTTTCTCACTTATTACGTTTTTTATTTGCTGATAGCCTAGGGAATTGGACCAATAACTACGACAATTAGGCATGTGAACTAGGGACATATAGATGCAAATTCCTAGGTATTAATTTATATCTGTGGTGGTCACTCCAGCAGGATTACTCGGATCCTTTTGAATAACATATGTATTGGACTCTGTTACAATTTTTTCGATCAACTCATTGTCAAAAAAGTACTTGAAAAAAGTATATGGTGTTGACAAATCCATTATAGCATTAGAAAGGTTGGTATCTCCTCTAAAAGTCTTCGCCAGTTCGTCAATGGATAGGTTTTTTTTCTTCCACAATATATTTTTGATTCGAGTAGTGATTGGCTCAACCTCCACATCGACATCGACGATAGTTGGCTCCTCAATAGGTTCTATTGGTTGGTCTGGAAATTCTGTGACAGTAACCTCATCTTCAAACTCTACAGGTAAGCTTTGAATATCAATATTCTTGTCAGGATCTAAGTTTGTCTCATCTCTAAAACATTCTTCAGAATCACTATTGTCCAATTCGTCATCACTGTTCCAAAAATTTGCTGCCAACTCCTCCAATTCACGCTCTGACAAAGGTCTTTTACCATACATAATGACCCTGTAACAAAACGCAATGTATCAGATCTGATACAACCGTAAAAAGAGGCGAATTATGAAGAAATTACTCATAAAAGTATAAATTAGCTCGATCTATATTTATATTACTTACTTTCTAAACAAAGTTCATACAGCCAAAATAAAAGAATTACGAAAAAACGAATAAAACAAAAAAAATCTGAGAAGCTACAATGCGTGCTCAATGCGAATAGGCACTTGCCGGACAACTAACAAAATTCACGCGCGAACTAAAACGATTGCGAGGTATGCAGCTTTATTTCCTAGTACGTAAGGACGTATTAGATTTAATACGAAGTGCAGCGTCGGCTTTAAACACACACAATTTAAGGAATCGATTATTTAAATAGGTTGTAGCAGATCTGCTACATTGCGCAGTATAGGGTTAAAGATATTTACTTGGATCCCTACTTTATCTCAATAAAATATGAGTTTAGTTTATAAAGTTGTTTTATTTTATGTTCAAGTATCTCGTTTGCTTGTTATTATTAATAAACGAGTTTAAACTTGTTCTCCATTTACTGTAATTATTCCACTATGTTAATTCATGAACTCATCGACAATAGTTTTACTGGATAAGTATTAAAATATAAGATTTAAAATAAATTTATCGCAATGTAGAGAGGATTGGCCTCTGCTCAGGTGTTTATTTCTCCTTCAAACGATAAAAAAGGTTAAAGTTGAAGATCAACAATCAATAATCTCATACTGTTTTAAAAGTTTCACGATATATTGTTGATAATTTGAGCTGTAGGGCAATGAGTTCAAAAAATTCTAATATAATTTTTAATTACGATATAATATAATTTGTTGTAAGGCGACAATTGGTTTGTGATAGCAAGTTATAAGAAGGTAAATATTAAATATATCTATATAGTTTAACATCAAATACAAACTGTGAACACAATGAACATACTACTAATACATTTGTAAGAAATCTTCCTCTTTTGCATAAATTAGGTCTGTGACTTTTGTTTACTGGGTAATATTTAGTCTTAACCCTTTCGAGACGGTTTCTTTTAACGAGTTTTAAAAACATATTTTTGTGGTTTTTTATTTTTATACACACAAATATACCCTTTTTTAACAAAAAATGTTAATGAAAACGTTAGGGTGTTCGTGGGGGTAGTGGTACACATATGTACCATTAGTCTTGTGTATTGGTACATATGTGTACCAACAGTCCCACATAAAAATATTATTATATACCACATAATATATTTGTATTACTTTATTACTCAAAAATACAAAACAATTACTCAAAAATACAAAATATTATTTACGGTGATATACTGCGAAACAGTTTTTACATAAAGGAATGTCACACTCTTCGCAAAGGGTTTTTGTACGTGTTTGAGTTTTATTATCAGTGCACATTTTACATCGTCTTCTTGTGCTTCCTTCAATTGGAAGATGTAATGATACACTCTCGAAACGTTTTCTTTTCATAGATATTCTTTCCTTCTTACGTCGTATAGCAGCTATTTTTTGTCCTTCAGCTATCATTTCTTCTGCCAGAGGTACCAAAAATTGAATCAGAGGAATTTTTTTCTTATTTTTTTCATTATAAATAATCCATGAGTTTACAACTGACATTATAAGTAAGCGATGGAATACTTTTTTCCACCATTTGTTTGATTTACGATCTAAATCGTACAATCCTACCATTTGGTCTGCTAGATCAACCCCACCCATAATTTTCCTGTAGCACGCTATCATTTCTGAACAGGACACATTTACTTTCGAACCGTCTCTCATGGTTCTATTGATAGATGAAACACTGTCATTATTTGCAATTACTCAGCATCAAGACTTCCTTGGTGTCCTGCCATTTCACAAACATTGGTCCGTTTTCACTGCACTGAAATACGCATTCACCTCTTTGCAATTTATCTTTTATTTTTGGCAAGTTTTTTCTATTTTGGTTACAGGTCCCTATTGCTGCGTACTCTATATTTTCCAACAGACAAACCGAAGTAAAAAACGATCAAAGCAAAAGGTTATATCTCTTTCTTTTGCTGTGGAAACAAGTTTGTTCACTACACGTTCCCCAAGAGTTCCTTCTACATATTCAGTTTCGCGACCTGTGTAGATGTTGAAGTCGTAGGTATATCCAGTAAACGAGTCTGACCTAAGCCACATTTTGATTCCCCTTTTTACTGGTTTTACCGGCATATACTGTTTGAGTGACGATCGACCTTTGAATTTCGTCATGGACTCGTCGATACTTTGAAAACTGCTGTCTTGTCGATATTTTTGAAAGGTACCTTTCAAGCATTGTACAACGTCATCAATGTAATACGTTTTCGAGGCTTCTGTTGGTTTCTTTGGTGATGGAAAATACATTTTTGACGATATAACTTTGAATCTGTCACGGGATATTGCATTTTGAATTGAAACGTTTCCCAGTGAAGGATGAGTTGACCAATAATTACTGATTTCTGGTACACGGTTGTAGCACATAACTAACATACAACCAAGAACTATTTGAATTTCTCCTAAGTCAGTTTCTTTCAGACGAGCGTTTCTTCTTGACTGCTTACATATTTCAATCCTTTCATTAGTGCATTGAGCAATATACATATACAAAGAACGTGGAAACAACTTTTTGAAATATTGGTATGGCGCCAAGTTAGATTGTAGCCGGCATCCAATGTACAACTACGTTGACTTGAAATTTGTTTTTTCGGAGCAAAACCTTCATTTGGTGTTGACCACAACACAAAAGAACTACTAGGTGTGGCAGTTTCTTGTAAAGTTTCCTGTGTATCACGAACTTCTAACTCTGATTCTGATTCTTCATCAGAAGTTTCGTGAAAATTATCTTTGCAGTCCTCGTCTGATTCCGATTCATCATCAGAAGGCTTATACATGTCATCACTACTTCCAGACTCGGAAAATGATAATTCTGCATAATATTGAAGTTCTTTCTGTGTAAGTGGCCTTTTCTTATCCATATCTAAAAATGACATGAGTAAGACTAATGGTACACTTCCATACCGTACTATAAGACTATTGGTACTTCTTAGTACCATAGATTTTAAAAACAGTCAAATGTTTATTTTACTATAAATAAATAACAATCTAAATATATTTACTATAAAAAGACACAAAAACAAACAGTCTGTAAAATGATATAATACAATTTAACTATAATTTGTATCAAAAAACAATGTATTTATGCTGACTGTAGCAACCAACACATCTAAAACTCGCAAATTCTAGGTTAACTAAAATATTTTACGCGGCTACACGTGAACGTGACTCAAACGATGCAATGGAGAACTGACTGGTACATTTTTAAATAATATTTAACGGCAAAATATCACTTTAGGCTTGTATGGAAACATAGTGGTACACATATGTACCTGGAGTCTCGAAAGGGTTAATTGTGATTCTTTCTGGGAGCCTTCTTCAATTTGGTTTCTCATCTCTTACAATTTCTTGCACTTCTATCTTCTCGTAATATCGTTACATGTCGATTGATTCCAATGTGTTTTTGGTTCTCATCTCCATTTCACTACATCTTGAACATCACATTTTTGTCTGATATTTTCGTTTCCTACTCAATCCCGCCTAGTTTTCCCTACTATATATAGATCTTAATTTCGTTATTTCAGCTACACTTAGGGTGTTTTGTTTCCTTTGTTTGTTATTAGTTAGTTGCTGCGACCCCGGAAAAAGATACTCAATAATCTCCTTTTTAGTATTATCTTGTCTCTTAAGAATTCTGTATACCCTAGCACAAAAAGACGAATATCTTACCTTGTTCTTCTTAAACTGCCGTCTCCCTACGGAGGGAGTCGGCACTTTAAGTTGAACAGTCATGATGGTAGGGAGTTGGCAGTCATGATGGCTATTTTTAATTTTGAACTTGAGGCTCTAAAATTATTCCATCTGCATTGATACCAATCACGTAGATTCTTCAACCAAGAATTCTGCTTTCGGAAAACAAATCTTCCTTGAATATTTCCCTGTATTATGAGTTTCAAAATTTCATACTTTGTTCCTCTCATCAGATGGCCTAGGAATTCGAGTTTTCTTCTTTGTATAGAGGTAATTGGTTCTGTTTCTTTACCAACTGTCAGAGACACTCAGTAGATTATTTTATTATTTATGGCTTAAGTCGAGTATTATTGCTTATTAAGCATAAGACGCACTCAAAAGATGTTTATTCTAAATATTAGGGCGACGTGGTTTTTATGTTTATATCTCACGTCGAGAATGTGTAATTAAATTTAACGACTTCCCGCTTTGATTATATTATTATTTCGGAGAAGCCGTGGCATGTTTATATTAATTTAAAAGATTGTAAAATCAGTACCTTTGTGAACTTACCACCGATATATGCTTTAGAATTATTTCATTTTAAAACTGCCTGTAATTTTTGAATAGAAGTTATTGTTGATAATTTTGGACTTTTATTCCATCGAACAATATTGATGTAGAACGGGTAGATTTACGTTGATACAACCAACACCAACCCTCTGTAGTTCTTTTTTAGTTTTAATTCTACCAGTCCATGATATTTTTAATATTCTGCGGTACAACTAAAGTTCGAAATCCTCGACTCTTTTTAAATTGCATTGTTTAATGTGCAAGTCTCGACAGCTCCAATTAGGTTTTCCATACATCATTAACAAAAACCTCATTTACCAAACCTACCCATACAAATACTGCAAATTCTTTTATTCCACACATTAATTCAACCATCACCTAAAAGGAACTGCAATTTTACCGACATATTTAGATACACCTAGCTATTTGAACCTAATGGTGCTTTTCAGTCACTTATATTTGTGCCTAACTAATTAATATTCTTTGTTTCAATATTCAACATTAATAATTTCACTTTGATTAAAATCAAATTTCAACCTGCATATGATCATAATTCTATTGTATTTTTCACACAGTATATTGATTCTCAGTCAGTCTGCTTTGATGAACAGATTCATGTTTTCCATAAATCTTTTTACTATATAACGTTTATCATATAGAAATTATTTATTTAAGATTCAATTTACGATATCCTCTTTAAACTAGCTAATAGCCACCTACATAGGCAACCAACCTCACGAGAAATTTTCCAGTCTCCTTTCTCCTTTATTCATTAGCATACAAACATAATTTATCTATATAGGTAATAGTTAGGATTCTTTCGTTCAACATAAAAAGCTTGTAGATATATTAAAAAGCAAAAATATTGACAGTCGTGATCTGAAAATTATATCTAATTTATATTGGAATCAAACTGCCAAGGTAAGAGTTGACAGCCAGTACACCGAAAATATCAAAATACAGAGAGGAGTCCGCCAGGGTTGCGTGCTGTCCCCACTACTTTTCAATGTCTACAGTGAAGCGGTATTTCAAGAAGCGCTCTCAGACTCAATAGAAGGTATATCTATCAATGGAGAAGTTTTGAATAACTTACGTTTTGCAGACGATACAGTAATAATTACGGATAACAACAATGATTTACAGAACCAAATGCAACGCCTTAATGAACGCTGTCATGAGTACGGACTGCAGATAATTTTAAAGAAAACTAAATGCATGATCATGACTAAATCTGCACATGCAAATATCCAATTGACTATTGAAGATACTGCAATTGAGAATGTTAATAACTATAAATATTTAGGAACATGGATAACATCAGATGTAGACCAAACCAAAGAAATTAAAACACGTATTGAAATAGCACGTACATCATTTATTAAACTTAAAAAGTTTCTTTGTTGTCGGGATATAAGGTTAGAACTACGCCTGAGAATGCTTCGATGTTACGTGTTCTCTACTCTTCTTTATGGTTTGGAAGCTTGGACACTCAAACAAGTTCATCTGAATAAGCT